TTGGAATAATATTGAAATATCCCATCTAAATAAGTTAGCCTTTATAACTGATCAAATGTGCTTCTGGAGTATCAAAGGTTAACTGAAATTTCAAGATCAAATTCTCATATACTTTCATAAACTTTTATTATTTATAAAAATAAAAATCTTTTATTTTTTAAAAAATGTACAACAATATGATACTAATTAACATTGTCAATCACGACCTTATTCATACAGTGGGTACTAAAAAAAATTAAATAACTAGTTTATATATAAAATTTTACAATATTGTTGATGTACATTCTTTGTCTTTGGACCTAATGAGTTAATCTTTATTTATATTTTTTATTTATCTATTCAATTATTCTTTGGACATGTTCTAAATTTTATGCTCAGTTTGAAGAGAAATAATTTACAAATGCCTGAAGGAATGCTGAAACAGCAGAACCTTTTGGAATGGAGAGATAAATGTTGTGAGAAATATATTGGATGGAAGCTATAATCATCCAGTAGCACAAATAATCAAATATAGTAAAATTAATTTTTAATTAGACTGGATATAGTCTGTAGAGTGTGATGACTACATCCTTGAGATATATCTTAATGTTTTATTGGGTAAGTTGGACTATTAAAAGTTTATTTTTTAAATTATAAATTTATTATTATTTTTTTGAATGAATTATTTTTTTGATTTCAGACTTATTTTTCAGTTTTATTTATTTAAAATTAAATATTCTGAATGGGAATGGATATAATTTTGAGATCTTATGTAACAAAAATTATAGAAATTAACAAGAATGAAAATTATTATGTTTATTATGTTTATTTTAGTTTATGAAATTATTAATCTCTTCGTTCTCAATTTTATTTATATTTATCATTATTAATTTATTAAGAAATTAGAAATCATATCATGATAATGATTTGATTTGGTGAATTAAACAAAATACATTTGTATAACTATAACCAAATATGTATTTGTTACAAAAAGAAAATAGAAAAGATCTAAATGATTTGATTACTAGGCAGCAATCATATTATATTTTATATTATTATATTCATTTTATATAATATTTGCTTGTCATAAAATAATAGATCATAGTTGATATATATTAAAGAATGCAACAAGACAAGGAATAATGGATTTAAGATCCAGAATATCTAAATATTTTAAGACAAATGTTAAAATTAAAGAATCAAAGATCATCACTAAAAAAAGAGATTTTATGGAAAAAATTATTTAATTATTTAAATAATTTTATTGAGTATCCACAATAATAATATCTAAATATTTTAAATATTTTCTCCTTTCTTCTATTATAACAATTATTTTTTTTATCTAATAACAAATAATAGTAAAAATTATTTTTAATTTTTGTTATTCGTTGTGATCTTTTAAAATAATAATAATAATCCCACACATACCATATCTGAGAAATGAAAAATATAGAATTTTTTTTATTTATCTCTAAAAAAAATCTTGCTTATAAAAAACAATGCAAGGATAAAAAATCTTTAGTCAAAATAAACATATTTTGATTAAAAAATATAAAAAAATTTTCGTAAGATGATTATTAAATTATTTAAATACTTTCAATTTTCTTCAAAAGTTTATTTTTTTTTTGTTTAAAAAATTTTAAGCGCAATTTGTTATATTGACCAATATAATGAAACAAACTATTCTGTGACTGTCGGCATTACTTTTTTAAAACACCAAAGATAAATATATTTCAAGAATCAAATAAATGAATATGACTTAGAAAAATTCCAAAAGGAGAGGAGATGTCCATATGCAAGGATGCTTTCTGGTTACAGAAAATAATAGAATTAAATAACAATTTTAGAAATTATAATGTTTATTGTTAAGATAGTTCTTAACCTGGATTACCTAAGGGCTGTTCAAGAAATATTTTAAAAGATAATGTTGAAACAAATGATATTAAGGTCATCTTTGGATTTACTGCAATCCAGAAATATCTATATATTTTAAGACATATTAAAATAAGAATTAAAAGATCGTTACTAAAAAAAGAAGAAAAAATGCCGAGGGAGAGAGGAAAAAATTATTAATTATTTAATTGATTTATTGAGCAGCAACAATATTTAAATATTTCTTCTTTCTTCTGTTATAATAAATGATAATAATTATTAATAAATTTTTTTTTATCTAAATAACAATAATAGTAATAATGATGATTTTAATTTTTGTTATTCATCGTTATCTTTAAAATAATAATCCCAATTCTCATATCTGATAATAAGATTATACCATTTTTGTAAAACAATAAAACAAAAAAAAAAATATCAAGGAGAAAAATCTTTAATTCAAAATAATAATGTTTTTGATTAAAAAAAGTAAAAAAAAAAAATTTCGTAAGATGATTTTTAAATTATTTAATGAATTGTTTCCTTTCAAAAGTTTATTTTTTTTGGTAAAGAAAATATTAAGCACAATTTGTTATATTACCAATACAATGAAACATTTACAAGAACAAACTTTGTGGTGAATGCTGTTGGAGAAAAATTTCAAAAAGGAGATATCCATATGCAAAGATGTTTTCTGATTACAGAAATTAACATTGAAAATAATAGAATTAAAATTTTAAAGGTAAATAAAAATTTTAGAAATTATAATGTTTATTGTTAAGATATTTATTCATACTTAGTATAGTTTAGTATAGTAAAATATAATTTAAAATAGTTAATTGCATCAAATATGTGTGTTCTTAACTTCGAAGAAGAAAATTTACTTAAGGCCCATATCAATGGTATTAATAAATATTGTAAAAGACAATGCTGATATTAAGGCCTTTGCTAAGGAGTATATTTAATGATCAAAATTCTGAATTATTCTGGATTTAACTTGTACTATTAACTCATTTCTTAACCAGAGTTACTTGAGATACTTCTCTTTACATAACTAGTTTCCTTTTATTTTTTGAAAAGGGACAGGTGTAATAATTGGAATAATATTCACTTGAAATACTGTAGATAAATTCATGATGAAATATTAGCACCTGAACCAACCACTACCTTTTTCTAGATTCGCATTAGTATTAGTTCTTTTATTCTCTTTTTTCATATAATAATAATTAGTAACAAACAAATAACAAAAATTTTGGGAAATTTTATAATTGTCAAATAGATTTAAATTTTTCATTCAATGCTGAGAAATCTTCAATTTACATCGTGTCTTGATAACCTTTCTAGAAAATTAATAAAGGAAGGAATTTAATTTTTTAAATTTGCAATGCAAGTGTTTATAAGCCAGCGAAGTTGATATGTATTTTTGGAAAGAAATTCATCATCCCGAAGTTTACCAATTTTATAACGAAATTAAAAAAAAAAATAATTTATTTTTTAGTTTTGCAATTCACTTTGTATTTTACTTTAAATATATATTTATTATTTCTTTATAGCGATAAAACCAAATGTATAATTATCACTACTTGTAAATATGCACGTTCAACATGAAAATAAAAATTTGTCATTATTTATGCCAATGAGTTATTTATCAAGGACTTTTATGAAATGGTGATCAACAAAGGAACAATTTCGCGAAAATAATAATTTATTTTTTATTCTATCATCCAAATTGACTTACGAAAATAAAAATTTTTTAGAATATGTATTTTATATTTTTTAGCCGGTGTAGTTTCAATAATTACAAACCAAATTTACTACCACATCGCACAAAATAAAAATTTATTAAAAATCCAAAACACGAAAATCACATTTGTAACAATTTCTTTACAAAGAATGAAATGGTGATCGTCAAAGGAACAAATTGATCATATTGCAGAGTTCAAAGTGTCAAGTCACAGCATCTGTTTGCGAAAATAAAAAATAATTATTTTATTTCATTTTTCAAAAAAATTCAAAAAATCTTCAAACAATCTTAAAGACAATGCTTAATTCAAAGGATTATTTTAGTATTTTTATTACTAAGCATTTTCAAAATAATGAAAATTGAAATGAATAAAATTTGTTCATAAATTATTATTCATTCATAATATATTAATCATAAATAAAATACTTATATATAATATTATCTGTCATTAGATGTTCCAGAACCATTTTCTAAGTATTTAAAGTTAAAAAATCATTATTTAAAAAATTAATAAACAAAATAAGTAATACTTAATTTTTGTTATTTTTTATATTGTTAGAAAAAAAGCATATCAATTAATTTTTATTATAGTTATCTCTGATTATATGATTTATTTATCAATTCACATGTTAACTTTTCCAAAAGATTAATACAAAATTTAAATTTTTTTTAAGTTTGTAGTGTGAGTATATTTTATGAATATCACCATTTAATACAATAGACCACTAATTTTTATTCATTTTTTGATGTTAATAAAATTTAAATTTTTATTAATTGACAAAAGTAATTATAAATGAAAAGATAGAAAGAAATTCATTATCTTGAAGTTGTCACGCATAAAATAAAAAATTTTTATGCTAATGAGCTAAATATTTTATTAAAATCTAAAAACCTGGAAAGAAATTATTAGTAATGAAAAATTGAGAGAAATTATTAGTGGAGAAAGTAATTACAGGAAAGAGATTTCTATGTTTGTTACATAACTAATAACTTCTTTCAGAATTAGTAGACTTCAACATATAAACTTCTTTCAAGGTTTCTAAAGAGGAAAGGAAGAGTGTGGAGTTAGAAGTGTGAAATATAGGTGGAGATAAAAGTGGAGTTTAGGTGGAATTTAGGAGAGTGTAGGTGGAGTGTAAGTGGAATGCAGGAGGGGGTGAAGATGATGAGGGTGGAGTATGGAGTATGAAGTGTGGAGTGTGGAGGTGAAGATGGGGGAGTATGGAGGTAGAGAGGGAATAGAAGTTAAATGCAAAGGTAGAGGATTAGCGGGAAAGAAAACTGTCAATTCAAATAATAGAATTAAATAACAAATCATTAGTAATAGAATATTGGAAATAAAATTATTAGCAAATAAAAAAATTGATAGTAGAAATAAATGTAATAGAAATGAAAAAAGGTTCATAGCTTAATAGTTAGGTTGTAAAATTTCAACATAATATACTTCATTCTCAAGTAATTTTTCAAGCTAAGAGAGTTTAGCACTAAAATATAAATTCATTAATTTATAAATCTTTTTTATAGTATACATATACAATATAATAAAAAATGAGAATAATTTTTATACACATACATTTCTCCTGGAATTAAGATCAATATATTCAAAAATTTCACATTCATTATTTTTATTACTTTCAAAACTCATCATTTCAAAATATTCTTCACATTCACCATCTTCATTGGATCTTGCTTCATATTCATAATCTTTATCAGATTCATAATTTCGATCATCTCCATTGACATTATTAGTGCCATAGCCACCAAAATATTTTTCCAGATCTTTATCAGATTCTTTGTTAGATCCTTTATCTGCATCAATATCATTACATCCATTGTGAACTTCAAATTATCAGATTTATCATTATAATATTTGTTTACATCAAATATTCACCCAATTCAAAATGGTTGTTTTGGTCCCCATCATTTTCATTTTTACAAGTGTAACAGCTGAAGTATTTGCCAATTTAGATTGTTTTGAGATCACCTTGTTCAGCTTAAGTTGTTTTTCTCTGGTACCAATGGTAAATTTAAAAATGGTTGTTTTGTTATTGGTATATTGGATGTTGTGAGAGTGTTTCATTTTTTGATTCGTTATTTTGTTAATTTTATCCGAATATTTGTTGATTTTTTTGTTCTTTGTTTCCAATGTAAATAAAAAATAAGTTATTAACTCTTTCATTTTAATGCATTTATTTTTAAGAATATTTTTTGAATGCTGATATGATGACAGAGATGACAGAAGCTGAGACAGTTACAACACACAAAGCAAAGCAAAGAATGTAGAAGATAAGAGTAAAGTTGTAGTTCAAGAGTAAAAATAATAACAAGTAAAGTAAGTAGTGAGATGAGAAATCAAATTTCAAGATCAATCAAGTAAACAAGTGGGTTGGGTATTTGTATTTAATTTCATGTTTATATGACGCGTCTGATTTAAGCATGTTGACAATTTCTTGATCGGCGCATAATATCGAAATCTGGCGTATATTACTAAATTGCTAAACTAATAAATTACGTATGCAAGCAAAAAAAAACAATAAAAGTATATGTGTATAAATGCTTTTTTTTTTGTTAGTTTTTTTTAAAAAAATTAGTAAAAAAGAAGTATTTATAAAAAAAAAAAAAGTAGTTATAGAAATATTTATAAAAAGTAGGTAATATGAATGTTGGTGGCGGGGATATGTGGTTGGAGTATAAAAGATATTGGAAACATGAGGGATGAAGGTTGTATAATTTATTTATGCTCGAATGCAATTAAAATAATGATTATAATTTAATGTACTGCTTGAAATATTAGTGATCAAAAAAAAAATCTCAGGTCATTTTTTTCTATAATATTTTTACTAGTGACACTAGTGACAGCTTGTCTCTAGAAAAGTTGGCCTTAGAAAAAATTTAACTGAGACTGGAGCCAAGATCAGGAATTTAACATTTTTGGTTTTCAGGATATAAAATTTGTATTATAAATAAGAAATATAGATTTATCGAAGTTTGACTTGCTGATACAAATGTAATCATTATCATCCATGAGCAGTGAACAGTTGGATAAGTAAAATCATTCCAATGCAATCATAAGTAAATCAAACTTTGCACATTAATGAATTGATCAGTGTTACTACCTGGGAGAGCAAGCTTTACTAATTTATAGTGGCTTAGCTTGGTAGTGAACTTGTGTTGATTAAAATATGTGAATGATTATAAATATTAAAAGTAAAATATAATCTATAGAAAGAATTCAATTAAAACAAGAATAATATCAATTTATCTAAATAATTAACCAACTAATAATCAATAACTATAAATTAATCAAAAATACTAATTCAAATCAAAAATAAATTAACTACTATAAAACTAAAAACAATCAAAAATCAATAAATCAAAATAAAGAATAAAATGTGAGTTTGGGTAAGCAGTGTTCCTTTTATTATTTCAGCGACACTTTAAGACAAAAGTATAAGGTAATTGTTATTTTTATTAAAATAAAAGAAATAGGAATTGTATAAATTTTTAAACTGACTTGGATAAGGTAATTTCTCTTGTATTTATATACATTTCTATTCTGGAGGTCTAAAACCTCACTTGGGGTCTACTTTGAGGTCTAAGGATAAACAGACCTCACCTGGGGTCTCTTAATTAAAGACTTCAACTGGAGTTCAAGATGATCAAGACACCACTTGGGGTCTTGGTGTCCTTTTGATCATCAACTAACCTTTCCTATCTTAATTATACCATAGTTAATATGAATTTTAATACTCTGATTAACTAAATATAAAAATAGAAATAACTAAACATATATAGATCAATTCTAAAATTAATACAATAACTACTAAGTAATAATAAATAATAAATGAATAAATATTAATAAATAATAGAATAAAACATAACAAGAAAAAATTATAATAAATTAAATAATAAAAAAAAACTTCGAACATCGGTTACCGAATAGTGATTTCATCAGATTCCCTTTTACTTGGTCTGAAAAGTTGTTAACACCCCTTCCTTTCGAGTACAGAGACTGCTGTCCAGAAATAACTATCAAAATAATGGCACTGACACAACCCACCATCCAGATGAAATAACCACGCATAAAAAAATAAACCGAGTCCCAATTACAATAAATGTCATGATAAAAAAACGGCATAATTTCAACGAATGACATAATCATTGGGAATATCAACTTTGCTCAGTCAGTGATGATAAATGCACAGGAAATTCATAGGAAATAGGGACATCTTTTGTAATATTGACAAAAAAATATAATCCCACCATTCTACAAACGAACTGAACCCGCTGCCATTGCTATGAGGTCAATGACTAATGCTATTAGTCTCAATCTTTCTTCGATTCGGTGATATATATTAAGCGAATTTGATGTTTTTTTGGTTCGGTGATATTCATTAGAATTTGATATTTTCATATCATCTTTATCATCCGCTTCATTAGAATTTAGTGTTTCTTCTATATCATTCGTTTTCAATGGTTTATGCTAAGGGTATTGTCTAATCACCGCTGCAAATAATGTTTTCCATCTCTTTAAAATTCTTTTTTCATCTTCAACAGTAAGTTTGAAAATACCAGCTCCAATAGTTGAAAGACATACTGTGTGCTATGACCATTTGACCTTTTTTTGCCAAATATACACGCAATATAGATATTATACCGCCGATGAAAGACAATAGAGCTGAAATAATACTAAACGAGTTCCATTGATATTCGGAATATAATATCAATGAATTGATAATTAGAACTGCGATGACTATCGGCCACGGAAACAGTTGACTTTTTATCGAAGGTACAAACGCAACATATCTAAGTGGTCCATCAAATGATCAAATATTTCAGTAGTCAGCACGATGAATTTATTTTGATTCTGAAACGAAGAAAATAACAATATGTATGCTTTAAATATTTAATTGAGGTTAGAAAACAAACATTGGTGATCAAAAATAAACTCCTTTATTTGAAACGTAAAATATTACACTAATTTGATTTAGAATTTACTAAAGACAAGCAAATTCAAATATTCCCACAATAGTAAAAAGACACCAAACATTGTGTGCCTGGATTTTCGGTGTGACACCCAACACCCAAGGTTAATAATATCTCAGTCATGACAACTGTTGTCATGTTATTTCGCTCAGGTTATGAATTGTAAATAAAAAAAGGGAACATGTGTCTCTGTGCAGTCTCTTTTTGTTTAGCATACACAATATGCACTCCTTCATTGTTCCAGTTTATTGACATATGAAATTTTAAAGTGCTAAAATAATAACATTCTTTAGTGATGACATCATCATCACGATCATCCTGATAACACAAATAATTGATATTATGCGATCTGTGAATCATTGAATATATAAAGATTTTAAATGGAAAATTTGGAGCAATTTTTTCTTTCTCCGTCACTTCTTTCCTTTTTTCTTATTACTCAAATAAATAATATTTTAATTTAATAAAATTATTTTTTAATACATTTTTCGTCTATTGGGTTTATTAAGAGAGGGAGAAGTCATTATTTTATTATTATTATTTTGTTATCATTTGTTGTTATTTGTTATCATTTTGATGGTTTAGAAGATATTCCTTGATATATGGATAGAGTTCTGTAGAATGTGACGACTACATCTTTAAGATATATTATTAGGTAAGTTGGATTGTTAAAAGTTGTTTATTATATTATTATTATTTTTACATTATGAATACCCTTTTTTTTTATTTATTTTTTTTTTAAATGAATTATTTTTTTCGCTTTTCAAACTTTTTTTTTCAGTTTTATTTATCTAAATATTCTGAATGAGCATTTTAAATAGGAATGGATATAATTTTGAGATCTTAACCAACTTCCGCTTGAACAAAATTTATCAAAATCATCAAAAAATTGTATAAGATAATATAATTTTAAATCTTTAATTATAATTTGCAACTTATAAATAATTATTAATAATTCAATTATTTTATAAATTTTATTAAATTTAGGGGTATTCGTAAAGCAAGAAATTAAATAAATAAATATATATTCATTTATTTATTATTATATTTATTATATTTATTCCACATGAAATTATTAATCTCATCATTCTCAAACTATTTATATTTATCATTATTATCAACATTGTTAAGAAAGTAGAAAATAATGATTATGATGATGATAATAATAATATAAATAGATTGAAAATGATTTGGTTGATTTGGTTTGGTGAATTAAACAAAATACATAATATCCATATAACCAAATATATATTTGTTATAATATAAGTAAACAAAAAGGAAAGCAGAAAAAAGATTTGGATGATTTAATTACTAGAAAGCAATTATATTATATAAAATTAGCAAATTCCTGTGCCGAGCATAGTAATAACCAATAGAAAAGCTTGTTTGTTTCAGCCAATAGGAAAGCATTTTTTATCTCACCACTGGGTAATATATATAATTGTCATAATATAATATTGATCAATAGTTGATAAATTAAAGAACAAGACTGGGCATGAATTAATGGATTTAAGATTCAGGAATATCCTCAATATATTTTACATATCTCATATATTTTAAGAGAAACGTTAAATAAAGAGTCAAAGATCGTTACTAGAAAAACTAGAAAAAGAAAACCATTCCGAGGAGAAGAGAGAGAGAGAGAGAGAGATTTATGGAAAAAAATTACTTAATTGATTTGCAACAATAATGATACCTAAATATTCTTCTGTTATAATAATCATTAATAATGATAATTTTTGTTATTCGTCGCGATCTTTTAAATAATAATAATAATAATAATAATCCCCCAAATACACCCAATTCCCATATATATAATTGAAGTTGAATAATAATTTTACTATTTACATCTGTTATTTTTTTTCATTATATAATGAAAATTGGCAATTGAAAAAAAAAGAATTAAAAAGAAACATACATGTGAAAAAAAGTGAAAAAAAATAGATCAAAAAAATAGATGAAAATGAGAAAAGGAGAAAAGGAAACAAACAAACAAAAATGGATAGAAAAAGAAGAAAAACTGAATATAAACAAAGAGAAAATGGAATGGTAAATCTATTTTTTTTTTCTAAATATTTATTCACTCAACACAAAAAAAATACTAAATATACTAAATTAATAACTTCCAATTGCCTCTATTATTTTAATAATAATAACAATAATAATATAATAATAATAATGATAATCACGACGAGGGCAACTTTTTACATATGTCTAAAATTTTTTATTAATATTTTTATTTTTTTTTTGTTCTTCATCCGTTACTATTATTTTTTTTTTCATTATTACTATCTTTTCATTATTATTATTTTCTTTTCATTCGTCGTCGTTCATCACCATCATCAATCATCAATCATCATCGTCGTCATCATCAACATTATAATCCATTCGTTACCTCGACCTTTTACGTGGCGGCTGACCTTCAAACCCATAAAGTGTTTGACCTCTACGTTTCAAAGCCAATAATATTTCCATTACGCCTATGGTCTTTTTTCTTTCATATTCTACATAGGCTATTACATCCTTAAGAGTATCGGTTAAGAAATCTTTTAAAGCATTACGAGCGTTATCATATATTTGTGCGGAAATCCTTTTAACCCCTCCTCGACGTGCGAGACGTCTAATATCCGGTTTGGTAATTCCTTTGATATTCTCTCGTAAGAGTTTCTAATAATAACAATAACAATAATAATTAATAATTATAATAGATGAAATAATTAAAAAAAAAATCAAAAAAAAAAAATCAAAATCAAAATAATAATTATAGAAATAATAATTAAAATATAATTTATGAAATTAAAAATTAAAAAGAAATTATAAACGAAATTTCCAAAATTGGCCATCTTTAAACTTCAATTTTTTAAAAAATAATGTAGAATATGTAAATCATTCATTCATCATGCTGATTTGATTAGTAAGCCGAGAATGATTGTCATTTAAATGATATGATGATATTTATAAAAATGGTATAAATGGGATAAATCTTGAATAAAAAGTAAACAAATAGGTTGTATCACGCATGATTTTGGTTTTTTTTTTTTTGTGTACTTACTCTGTGTCGTTGTGTGGAAACCTTTCCTCCTTTACCTAAACCTTTACCACTCTTTCCGCGACCTGCTGCTACTCTAACCATTGTTATTATTTTTATATATATTTTCCTTTTAACAATGGGTTTTGTCGCTTTTATGGAAAGAACGTTCGTTTCGTATGGTAATCTTTAAAAATACAGTATTACACAAAACTTGAACCTCGTTCCGTTACTATATCGCGAAGTGCCACTCACTATATTTAATACACGAAGAAAAGAAAAAATAATAGAGATTATTAAATGTACAAATATGAATAATAATGTTATATATATGTATACATATATATATATATAAAATATATATTTGTTTATAACCTCACATTTTTTTTTAATTTTCCTGTAAATTATGTAAATTATAAAATATTATTTTTACCTTTAGAAAAAAGTAATAATAATAAAAAAAAAGGAAGGATAGAGGTCACTAAATACTGGTTGTTTTGATTCCGGATACTTTTATATATATAATGAGGTTTATCCCAAAATTGTGTAACTATGGTGTCAACATGGTGTAACTTTTGTGTAACCATACACAAGCATTTCTTACATAATGCTGCATAAAACCAATGTTAATAGCAGAAAGTAAACATTACGTGTGCGTATATTATCTATTACGTTATAAATTCCGATCAATTCCGAACTTGATTCGTGAATTCCGATATTAAATCAGAATCAGGTAAATCATGGTTCGTAGGTCAATCATAGTTCGTAGGTCAATCATGGTTCGGAGGTGCAAATTGTTAAAATTGTAAAATTGGACCTAAAAATGTGGTGATCAGACTTGATATACCCTTTTGTAAGTAATTAACTAAGCAAGAAAGAGTTAGGATGATGCAGTAAACAATTTAAGTTAGACAGTTAAGGACAATAGTATTATTATGCCTTATTAAAGTTTGTTTGATCAAACTTTCCATATTAAAATTTTTCTAGAAAATATTTTTCTAAAAAAAAAAATAAGAACGAATTAAAATTAAATTTTTATTAAATCACATTTTATATAAAAAAAAAAAAAATTCGGGAAATGTAAACATTTACATCATATGACGTTATGACGTGAAGTATTTATTAATAGTCAGCAAATCAAATGTATCCATTTTTCTCTTTCTCTCCCTTAACAACAACAAACAACAAAAAAACCATCATCTTTTATACTTTTTACATGACGATTTAATTAAAAAATAATAGATAATTGATTACGAAGACAAAAGACGGCGACCAAGGCGACGACGACGACGACGAAAGCTTTGGATCACTTCTTTTATTATCATTATCGACTCTATTTAATTTGATAATTAATAATATTGTACATATAAATAAATATTGAAATTATATTGATAGTAATCGTATCGTAAGGTAAAATATTAAAATAGAAATGAATTATTTTTAATTATATTTTTTATTGATTAAAAAATTATTATTATATTAGATTATTATTATCAGATTAGATAGGATATATTTGCATCAATTATGGAAATTGATATTTTCGATCCACAAGGTTATTATGATGATAATGATAATAATGATGATGATGATATTTGTGAAGAACAAAATGACACAACAAATGATAATAGACAAATAGAAAACAATGACGAAAAGAAGAAGAAGAATAATAATAATACAATATATAATAATGAAGAAGAGTCTAGAAATAATAATAAAAGATTAAATGATGATTCATTACGTCAGAGAATGAGTGGATTAGCAGCAAATAAAGCTGGTTTACAAGGAATAAATAAAGAAAAAGTTAGTCAAGTTATTTATGAAGCCTCTAAGGTAAATATATGAATAATTTAAAGATATATGTGATTTTTTGTGGAAATAAATTAATAAATTATATATATATATATATATATATTATAATTTTAGGGAACACCATTTTTTGAAAATGAAGCAAGAAAAGATGAAGCACTTAGTTATAAAATTGAAGAAATGTTAAAAAAATATTCAACACTCTTGAATAAAGATTTATCAATGGATTTAATTAGAATAGATAATATGATGGAAATATTAGAATCTGAAAGAGATTTATCTCGTATCATTGTTCACATTGATATGGATGCATTTTATGCTTCAGTGGAAGAAAGAGATAATCCTAGTTTGAAAGGTAAACCTATGGCTGTAGGTGATAATTCTATGTTAAGTACTGCAAATTATGAAGCGAGAAAGGTAAATAATAATAATAATATTATTATTAATAATAATATCAAATAATAATATCAAATAATAATAATTAATTAATTAATAATAATAATCTTTTATTATATATTAATTAATTAAAGTATGGAGTACGTAGTGCGATGCCAGGATTTATTGCCAGAAAATTATGTTCACATTTAATTTTGGTTCCATTACATTTTGATAAATATCGAGCGGTATCAAAATCTGTACGTGAAATATTTGCACGTTATGATCCAAATTTTACTCCCATGAGTTTAGATGAAGCTTATTTGGATATTACGGAATATCTTCAAAACATATCACAAACAACAAATGATAATAATAATGATAATAATAAATCAGCAAAATCAGCTGATGAAGTAGTTCAACAAATTAGAGAAGAGATATTTAAAGAGACACAATTGACAGCGAGTGCTGGAATTGCAGCAAATAAATTATTGGCCAAGGTATATATATTTATATTTATTCGTATTTTATTTATTCCCTTATACATTTTATACATTTCATACATTTTATACATTTTATACATTTTATGCGTTTTATACATTTTATGCGTTTTATACATTTTATCCCGTAAAATTTTTTGATATATCATCTATACATTTTATCATCTAAAAATAGGTATGTTCTGATATAAATAAACCAAATGGACAATATAGTATTCCAAATGATAAAGAAATCATTTTGGAATTTATGAAAAAATTATCTATCCGTAAAGTTTCTGGTATGTAATGTAAATTTATATAGAATGAAGTAGAATGATATATATAGAGTAATATAAAGGAGAGAAAAGAGAAAATATAATATTATTATTATTTTTATTTTTATTAGGAATTGGTCGTGTCACAGAAAGAATTTTAAATGCAATAGATATTAAGACAATGGGAGATTTATTTCAACAACGTGTTTATGTATATAAAATGTTTACTTTGAGTTCTTTTCAATTTCTTATGAGAGCTTCTTTTGGGATTGGTTCGACAGTAGTAAAAACGTAAGCATTTATTACATCATCATTATTATTATTATTATTATTTATACTTAACTTTAATTTATTATTATTATTAGTGAATATAATCGCAAGAGTATGAGTGTCGAAAGGTAAATATAATAATAAATAATAAATATTCCAAAGAAGAAGAAGAAAATGACATTTGAATTAATGAATATTTCTTATAGAACTTTTGCACCATTAAGTAAACCCGATGAATTAATTGCAAAATTACGCGAATTGGCCGATCATTTGGCATCGGATTTAAAGAAAGAAGGTCTTTCGGTTGGTTTTAAATTTATTATAATTTTTATTAAAATTTTTTATTAATTTTTATTAATTTTTATTGATTTTTTATTATATTGTAGGGTAAAACCATTAGTTTGAAATTCAAATCAGTCACATTTAATGTAACTAGTCGTGCGAAAACATTTTCAAAATATATTTACTCAGCAGATGATTTATTTTCATATGGAAAACAAGTAAATTATTATTTATTTAAAATATTAATTATTTAAATAAAATAAAATAAGGAATATTTGTTATATTTATATTTATATAGATTTTAGATGCAGAATTACCTTTGAATTTAAGACTTATGGGACTTCGATTATCTTCTTTACGAACTCATGAGGATGATATGAAATATGGAGTAAAAAGGGTATGCGTATAAATATTTTTTGTTATAATTATGTATTTTTATTCGTATAAATATAATCATGGATAATATCATTAAATATTTTTTGTTTAATTTGCAGTTCTTTTCTGCACAAAATGAAAATTCTAAAAAACAACAAAATATTAGATCATCATCGATCGTTAATGACAAGAACAACGACGATGACAACAGAAATGATAACAATAATATTATTAATAATAATAATGATGATGATGATAATTCCGATCAGGATGAAGAATCGATAAAAGAAGATAATGGAAAAGATAATAAACAAGAAAAAGAAGAAGAAAAGGATAATAAACAAGAAATACAAGAAATGGAAATAGATAATAATAAACAAAAAATACAAGAAATGGAAATAAAAAATAATAATAATAAAAAAGAGAATAATAATGATAATTCCGAGAATGATCCAGATATTGAACACATAAATGTTAATTGGGAATGTCCATTATGTCAAAAGAATTTTAATAATCCTACAATTTTACGTGTAAATACTCATATTGATTATTGTTTGAAAACGAAAAAAGTTAATAATAATAATAATAACCGGTATAGCATTTCTTATTTATTATTTTTATTTTTATTTTTATTTTTCAATAATGAAATTCATTTATTTAATTAGATTTATTTTATTTATTTTTTTATTTTTCAGGAATAAATTCACGTCAAAAGTTAAAAATAACAAAAGAAAAAGTTCGGAATCTTCATTATTAAAATATTTTGAAAAAGATAATAAATTTATTAAGCAACATAAAAAAATCATTTTGGAAAAACAAAATTCACAAAACCAAGAACAAGATCGAGATCGAGAAGAAAATGATAAAGAGAAAATTGTAAAGGAAGATGTCATAATGAAAGTTGAAATTGTAAAAATGGAAAATTTAAAATAATTATTTTAATAAAAATTGATAATTGAATATCTTCCTAATTTTTTTTTATCTTTAATGTTAACCTTCTCATTATTTTTAAATGATATTTTAAATTGATATTTTTTAAATTGATAATATTTTTTAAATTGATGATATTTTTTAAATGAGATCCAACATTTCAATGATATCTAATATTTCCAACATTTCAACTTCATCCATTATATCCATTATTTCATTTAATTCAATTATATCCATTAATTCGTTCATTTTCATTATATCCGATATATCCATTAATTCCATTAATTCCATTAATTCCATTACTTCTAAATGTTCTAAATGTTCTAACATTTCCATTAATTCGAGTCTTTCTATTGAACGGATTAAATTAATTTGTTCTAATGATGACATTTTTTGTGAAAAATAAATAAATTTTGATTGTGATATGATATTGAATAAAATTGTTGTGTTGTGATGTGTGGATGTGTGTGATGTAAAATCAAATAATTCGTGTAACATATTCATCTCGTTTATAAATATCATAAATTTCACGTGAGGTAACGGAAAAAAATTAATCTCATTTTTTATTCGTCGAGTGTCGACAGTATTACGTAAGCATCGCCTATCTCATCGCTGATAAGAAAAAATTTTAAACCTTTTCAATGCATCAATTAAAATTTTCTGTCAAATTTTATCAAATCTATCTTCCAAATTCTGGGCGTATAAAAAAATGACAAAAACTGAAGCTTCAAATATAATAGATTCCAGTATAGCAGCTACTGTTGCAAGATTATGCACTCATCCATGTAAGTATTTTTAACTTTGATTAAACATTTTTAGTATAACATTAAATTTATTATATCATCAGTTATTAATTATTCATCAATTAATTATTATTAAATATAAAAAAGTAGATACAATAAGAGTTCGCCTTCAAACAGCATCAATCTCATTTCCTATTTCTTCTTCTTCCACTTTTCCGATTTCTTCTGTTTTACCGAAATCAATAATCTCCATCAAAAATAGTCCAATAATTCAATTGATTCGTACAACTCCATTTAAAAGTTATTATTCTGGAATATCTATAGCTACCATTTTAGGTATTCCCGCTTTATCAAGTTACCTTTTTATTTATGATAATTCAAAATATTTTATTTCTGAAAAATTTGGAATTCATGATGATAAAATGATTAATCATATGATAAGTGGGGCTTTGGCTGAAATTGTAAGTGGTGTATTTTGGACTCCTATGGAAGTAATAAAAAGTAAATTACAAATGGGTATTTTTATTAATAATGAGAATAATATTATTAATAACGTTAATAAAATTAATAACACTAACAAGATGATGAATTGGAATAATTTAAAGAATAAAAGTTTGACAATAGATTTAATAAATTTCTTATTTAAAACGGAAGGAATAAGAGGATTTTTTAAAGGATATTTACTTTCTCTGGCAGTATTCATTCCACATACTATCATTTATTTTGTTGTTTATGAAAAATGCAAAAAGTGGGGTCTTAAACAAAAACAAATCAATATCAATAATAATCATAATAATAATAATCATAATAATAATAACAACATCAATAATAATCATAATAATAATAATCATAATAATAATAACATCAATAATAATCATAATAATAATATCAATAATAACATCAATAATATAGAAAAAAATAAAAATTTACTTCATAATTCTAACAATTCTAACAATAATAATAATGATAATTATAATAATGATCTTGCATTTACAAGTTATATCTTATATTCGGGATTTGCTTGTTCAATAGCAGCATCAATTTCGAATATTTTAGATGTTGTTAAAACTAGATGGCAAGTTTCTTTCATCCATAATATAACCGGAAACATTAATAATTTAAATTTAAATTCACCTAAAGAAATTATAAAAAATATGTATTATAATGAAGGTGGATTAAAAGCATTTACCAAAGGTATGGGAGCTAGAGTTATGTGGATGGTACCTGCTTCTGCAATTAGTATGACTGTATTTGAAACTTTGAAAAATAGAAGAAAAAAGGAAATAAAGAATAATATTTAAATTATTTAAATATTATATTTAATTTTTATATTTTTATTTAATTTGTATAACTTACAGTATATTTATATCCAAATTGTTATTATATCATTTTTGTATAAATATTCATATATATATATATCTATTCTTTCTGTAAAATAAGGAAAATAAAGAAAAATACTTTTGATTCAAATTCAAAAAAATTCATATTTCATAGTTTATCTTCATCTTCCTTTCTTCTCTCCTTCTTTTCATTTTCCTTTTTCATCCTGTTCATCACCTTTAATGGTATATGTACTTTCATCACTTATAGAATATATTTTTATATCATCACTACAATCATCTTAATCTACTCAAATTTAAATTTATATTTTTAAAAAGTTTATTTTTTATTCATACCTCCTCTTTTTCTATATCCTCTTCTTTTAATCTTTAATTAAATTTTCATTTCATTATCATCCTTAATTTCATTATTAGAGATTATTGGATTATTAGTTTCAAATTAACATCAAACACAATTCTTTAACCATGACTCTGATTTCGCTACTTTCAATTAATTGTTCACCGCTTTTAATAAATTTCATCATACTATTTTTTGACATTCTAACTTATGTTGGTCGAGTTGTTCATTAAAGATTAATTAACTTTTTAGCGTGATGACATTTCTGACTATAATTGATATCTAATTTTGATATTCATTAAATTAAATCCGAATTTAAACGAAATTTTTCTGCTCTTAAATATTCTGATAACTTACTACTAGAGGAATCAAATAAGAGTCATTGTGTCACAATTTGCATTGGAATTTTGATAATTATTTTTTTAAAAACACCTCTGTCCCAACACTTCAGTGCAGTATATAGGTACCATGGGTAGGTAAGTTTTAATTTTTTTTCTATATTATTACTTTTACTAGTGACACCGGTGAATGATATAAAAGGGAATCAAGAAAGAAATGAAGCAGGTCGAAACTCTCAAGGAAACGTCACCAGCAAAAATTTTATCAAGTGAAAATTGGTGACAGCCTGTCTCTAGAAAGTTGGTCAGTTGATACTGGAACCAAGGTCAGAAATTTAACATTTTCGGTTTTCAGAACACTTTATTGATTTTTCAGAAAATATTAAAATTATTTATATATGAATTAACACAAAATTTATATACATAAAATTTATGTTATAATAAAACATAGAAACAGTTTGATTTTCTTGTGTAAACGTATCATTATCATCCATGAGCAGTGAACAGTTGGGTAAGCATTCTTGAGGATACAACCATAAATAAACTAAACTTTTGTGACTAATGACTTGCGTAGTACGCTGTTCAAAAGATTTGCTAAAAATACAATACAATTTTTATTTGTTGTTAAAACTATCAAAACAATGGCCACACCACAATCCACCATCCAGATGAAATAGTCACGCATAAAAACCAACCCGATTAATACAAATATACAAAATATAGTAAATGTAAAGGCAAGAAGCGACGAAATTGAAGGTAAGAATGACATACAGTTATTGTAATCATTGGGAATATCAACTTTGCTCCAATCATTGATGTTAAATGCACAGGAAATTCCATCATAGGAAATAGGAACATCTTTTGTAATATTAACAAAAACATATGGTATCAAGCGTGGAATCATATGGTGAATACGGCAAATCCCACAAATGAAACCATCCCCACACACGAACTGCACCAGTTGCCATTTCTAAGAGATCAACGACTAATGCTATTAGTCAATCTTAATTCGATTCGTTGATATACAATAGGTGAATTTGATTTTTCTTTGATTTGGCGATATTAATTAGAATTTGATGTTTCTTCTATATCGTCCGTTTCATTAGAATTTGGCGTTTCTTTTATACCATCCGTTTTATTGGAATTTAGTATTTTTTTCTATATCATCTATATCATCCGTTTTCAATGGTTTATGCCAAGGGAATTGTCTAATCACCGCTGCAAATAATGTTTTCCATCTCTCTTTAAAATCCTTTTTTCCATCTTCTACAGTAAGTCTGATAATACCAGCTCCAATAGCAAAAGGTAAACTGAAAGGCATACTGTGTGCTATGACCATTCGACCTTTTTTTTTTGCCAAAAATACACGCAGCATAGATATATACCGCCGATGAGATATCATAGAGCTGAAATAATACTATTCCATTGACATGTGGGATATAATATCAATTAATTGATAATTAGGGTTACGATGCCTATCGGCCACGGAAACAGTTGAGATTTTATCGAAGGTACAAACGCTTTATATTCAAATAGTCCATTGCTACAATGTTCGGATATCTCCATAATAAATGACCAAATATCTTGGTAGTCGGCACAATGAATTTATTGATTTTGAAATGAAGAGTTTTCCATAAGAAAATAACGGCAAGTACATGTTTAATATTTAATTGAGGTTAAGTACTTGTTTAAATATTTAACTGAGGTTAAATTGATACTAAAACAAACATTTGTAATAAAAATAAACGCAATTCGTGGTATGTAGGATATTTACACAAATGAGTTAGAATTTTATTAAAGACAAGTAATAGATACAGGTAATGCCTCCTTATATCCACATAGTTGGTAAAAGATACTGAGCATTAATTATTTTTTGCTTTACTATAGGATCCTCGAATGAAGACAAACCAAATTAAATAGGTTTATCTCAGGTATGATGACGAGATATAGAAATAGATATACCATGACATTATGATGTTATTTTCGCTCAGGTTGTTATGATTTATTTATGTAGCTGTAAAAGTAAATATTATGATATTGCGAAATTCACAAAAAACTGCAAAAAATGAATAAATAAATAAAAAGTGATATTAAAATTTAGCAATAAAGATATGTCACGTTAATGGGAAAGAATTTAATTATAGCAGATCATCCCGGTAGCACAAATAAAAGAATTCGTAATATTATGGACTTAACTAAACTAAATTTACGCGTAAATTTACGTAATCTTATAATTTTAACGCACGAAATTATATCATAAAAAGTTTATTGAATTTAAATAAAATGATATGAATAAATAAAAAATTTGGTATAATTTTGATAGAATCTTGTTTCAATTTTATATTTTTTATTTATATGACTATTAGTAAAATATTATATTTTCAAAAGCTGATAACTCTTTAAAAAAGATCCAATCAAAAATCTTGGCACATGAGATTGAAAGATCTTGACTTAAACTATCAATTTTATGTGATATTTTTTTTTCGTAAATATTATTTCCAAAAAAAAATAGATGTCTAAAGCAGTGTACATCACATGATTACCCGAAATTAATTAATATTAGAATGAGGGCTGGGTTAAGGGTAGATATTATATGTATAATTTCCTCCCCGACATTTTTTTTAATGCACAAAGATATGTTTAGACATCTGTTTCTTGCATTTTCGTGTTTTTCACTTTTTTTCTTTGTCTGATCCGTATAAACGATTTTGATTGGCCATAGTCAACGGAAAATCTCGTGATAGACACTGCTTTAGACGATCCCCTTTAATAGAAAGGTATTTGTTTCGTGTATGAGGGTTTAAATTATTTGACGCGCTACATTCAAATGACGGACGGAACATTCAATTGATTCTTTTTTTTCCATCTTTATCTCATCTTTAATATTTTAATTAAACTAAATTAAAAATTTAAAACTTTTGTCCAATTTGTTAATTTATCCCTTATTCATTTTACATAACTCAATGTCGCCAACAGATTCTCCTGAAATGAATTTTCGAGGTTTTTTTTTTGTACAAGAATAACAACATAAGTTGTGTCAGATTTTCCGCCAACGTTCATTTAAGGATCGTAAAGCAGAACCCTCATGTCGCAAAGATGTACTTTGTAGATGACAGTGAAAACAATATTCAAATCCCAAATGGTATTGTTCTTAGAGATAATCTTACTAACGTTAATATACCGCCTGACACTTCTACCGGGTATGGAACTTACCTCATATCATGGATTGCCAGCTACACATTGCTTCGAAACAATGTCGAGATATTTGCTTTAAGAAACCAACAACAACAATCAATTGAGGGACCTAATGAGTTCGAATACAATACGATTGAAGTATAATTAAAATCTCACGTAATGTCCTTTATTAGAATTACAAGTAATCTCTTCGAAAGAAATTTATAAAATTAATAATCAATAAAGCAGACTCTTAAGTCAATTTTACATAAGTTGAATGCCGAGATAAATTACGATTTCTCGAAGCTAGGAAATGATAAATCATCAGAATGATGATTTCTATTGTAACCGTTCTATTAAAAAAATGATATGCCATACGTCTTGCCTTTTTATATCTTTTGTACTAAAACGAATTAAACGAATTATCTACAGAAGTATTCGGGCAAAATTACTGTAAAAAAATATGATCGTGGATCATTTAATTAGTGCATATTAATAATAATTAATTTACAGTATACGTAGACAAAATTAACACGTTCACATGTACTGCAGATAAAGCTATGAAACTATAAATTATAACTTTAAGCTTTGTTAATATTTTTTACATTGTCTATTTTATTTTTTCTAATTACAAGTACTGTATAAGTACAAGAAGAGGGGATACATGTAAAATCAAATCAATATATATGCATAAACTGATTATTAATCAATTAAGATGTAAGAATTCGTACGAAAAATAAAATTTACAAATTCATAAAAATTAAATTTTTGCGTATGATTCATTCACTTTTTGCAATACTTTTGAATTCGGCATAGGCTGAAAAATCGTCTATATCTTCAATAATATGAGAATCCACGCTCCCTGCATCACTATCGGATCTCGACCTTAAATCAATGTACCTCTTTATTTCTTCCATTATGATCTGATCGAGTTCTTTTAGAATATATGTCTGTGAATTTCTCTTGAAGGTGACGTCTATTGTATCTGGGTGTTTCCATGCATGATATATCTTTTTGTGTGCCCCAGAAATGACGATATTATATCCTTGTTGTTGTGCAAACTTGATATACAATTCACATAAGAAACAGCATTTCTTGGATACTGCTATAAATGACCTAGTTTTGATTTTCTGATTTATTATGTTGGACACTATGTTCAGTTCTGCGTGTAAATATATATGTTTGTTGATGTTTTCTAAGTCCAATCTTTCTATGGAATCATATGTTCGTATTAGTCTCTCCGATATGATACGATCATTCAAACATGCCTCTTTGAAACCTTGATACGTCTTGGAATTAGGAATAAGCTTATGGATAATACTTTTCCATGAACATATGGGCTTATGAATAATATCAGGATTCAACCTATGCAATTTCACTTGAGAAAATAGGGTTTTGTATTTTTGATTGCATGCACAATCTGTGATATTAATAAAAGATCCAACATATGATCCCACCTCTTTGATATGCTTTAGAAATATTTTTGGAATATTTTTATCTTTATTCCCTTTATAATAAAAGCAACACATTTGGGATATAGCGAGTCTCCCCTCTTCATCTATATTTTTAGTGTAATTCGAAATGTATTCTGTAAAAGATTTAACATGTTGTTCCTCTTTACCGTCGATTAAATCTTTCTTAAGTTTCCCATATCTAGAATCGAACTTAGAAGAACAGTACTTCATTACTTCGTAGCATAAAGCACTCGTCTCATCCTTTCTTAATGCTTCAAACCATGTCATAGGCTCATATTTAGATATACTTCTCAGGTATATTTGAATTTTTTCGATATATTCGACATCTTCTTTAAACCAGGCATTGTTCTTAGAAATATAAATAATACAAGAATTTGAATAAGTTTTCAAATTTACTGCCACCACTTCTTTGTCTCTTGCCAACATTGTCGCCAGGTTACAAGAAAATTTATCATTCGCAGTCAGTTCAACGTCTTCGTCACTTTCTTTGTCAACAACATATTTGATACACCCGGCCACATGCGCTTTACTGTACAACTCTTCCTCTTTCATTTTGAATGTTTTGTTGTCCCTCATTTGGTAAGAAGATTGAGGAGAAGAGGCTGAATTAAGATGTATCTTGCTGTACAACGTTTTTTCTTCCATATTTGGGGGATGTCTAAAGCCGGGTATAATCACGTGATATAGTTAGGGTTAGATTGGCTTATATAAATAGACTGGTCTTCTTATTGGCTCTAAATCATGTGATTGTACACTGCTTTAGAAAACCCCATATTTGTTAATATTTGTTACTGTATTACATACAATCGTGAGAGATAATTACTAATGTAGTACGATATCCTATTTTTATTTGGCGTCGATCAGTGAAACGTTTAGTTTACCCCATATAAATTATTTCCAAATTTTGCATGTAATTTTGGGTATCGTTACTTATGATACATATATATTATTTTTTTTATTAAACTTTTCTGATGATGAAGAACTGGTTATTATTATGATTTAAGTAGCGGTGCAACCTATGCCTCTTCGAGGCACTCCTTTGGAGCTAAAAAACTAGATCATTTAATCAGCGCGTATTAATAAATATTCACAGCAAATAAATCCACATATATATCTGTAAAATTATTTTTTTCGTGACTGTATTTCATTACACATCATGTATCAGCCTTAAATTTTATTTGTAACAATAAAGAAAACAAATGTATATTTTTTCTTGTAAAATGTTTGCTGTGACGTCGAAGACAATGCATCAAAAAAAATTTACCTTTCTTCCTCATTTATAGATTCTATATAAGAGACTGGTTGACTACCACCCACATCCTGCATATTAATATCACTTTCGTTACGTGATAAGAGTATATTTGGCAAATTGGATGATAAATCATGGGAATTGTTATGGCCTGAATTTATTGAGGGAGAAATGTCACTATTCCTACTGACCCATTTTTTAGGTATTGAAATATGCCAAATGGAATTAATATTTCTAAGAACGAACCCGTTAGTGCATTACGTACTGAAATTTGGAATAACTACTTGACTGAATATGGAAATGCTTCTTTTAATCTTCGTGCGGTCAATATTGAACATAGAGAATATGTGAATATGGAACCTGAAAAAAAAATCAGTGATTATTTTGATCCTAAACCTAGCAGAATCTCAATTCATATTCTTATAGAAACTAATTAGTTTTTTATAACTATTAAGCATTTTATTTTCTCTGAAAGATGCTCAACTGATATGTATTTTATGCGAAGCATGGGCAGATGCAAAGCATCCTTACTTCGTAAGAGGCCCTATATTTTTGTAAACTGAATAAGATATACAAATAAATACTCAAATAAATGCATTATGCTGTCCTAAATACACATTGAAAATTCATAACAATTTGTCACCAACAATGATGTAATAACGGAGTTAGTGTCTACAACACATAATTAATTCATTATTTTATTTATCTCGAAGGTGATAACTGATACAAAAATAAAATAAAATTTATATCACTATTACATAACACAAATACAGATAAAAAATCTAATTCCCAGGCTTTATGAGAATGTGAATTTGATTTGGATCTGGGGTTCTATTGAAATATTTAGAAACTTCATCCGACGTCTTCATAAGATCTTTATTCTCGGGATCATTCATATAGAGTTCGAAATTGAGGGAGAGAACTTGGTAACCTAGATTTACCAATAGAGACCCAATAGCAAACTTGATCACATAAACCTTATCTTCTTTGTATGGCCAAACTGTGAAAATTTTTCCATCCGGATTGTTATGAATGCTATACCTGAGGGGGATAGGATTTTTGCTAGCCATTTCTGTTTCCTAAATACAAAGTCCTATAGTGAGTATAGACCACGCTCTTTTTTCTTATATATTCAAAAAAAGATTATGTAGTTATCCCACTTATATATATAACAAAAAAATCTGGTTTCGAACATACTTGTGAGAAGGCGGAATAACACGTACCTTTAAAAATTCGTGGGAAGGTAGGGGGCAAAGTCTCTCAAAACCTACTTATTTATACTGATTCATACAATCCGAAGCTTGTTAGAGAGATCTGCCATATTAGTAATTTTGTTCTCTATCAACCAAATCTCTGATTCTTAGCAATGGTGAGATCCTCAAACCTATTATAATTCAGTCTTCTAGCAAGTGTTATCATATGCAATTAATGCCAAAGTGTGTGAATATATCCTTTTTAAGTCTCATTTCGCATGTTCTTATCGCAAAACATATGTGGTATAGAAGTATTAATAAAATGTATAGCGATTATTCATGCTACACAAGAATATTTCACAAGACACAGAGTGTCATTTCTACTGAAATACTTCTATATAGAAATTGGGCCGCACAAAAAACATGTGAATCTAACCTGTAAAATACGTCCAAACACATGCAATAAAAATCAGAATATCGTGATCGCGGTTTATTATACAATCAATTTATATGTCGAGGCTACTTTACGTACCTTTGTACAATTATATACCTTGTTCTTATTTCACTTCTTTTTAGGTTTAAAATGGATAGAGCCGAGGTCTTTAGACTCATGTATCTTTTTTACTGTAATAACATCGGATAAAATATCAGAACAATATGAATCCAATGTATCGCTATTATCAGTCTCAAATTCTGATAATTCACACTTATATTTTACCTTTCTATCTCCTAGCTCAGACCACTGGTCAAAATCTGGCATATCATGCACTTATCATGCACCAATCATGGTGCCCGATAGGTACCCGATATACATCTT